CGGGTCTTCTGCAAGAAAAATCAGTATTCTTAACTGCTGAGCCATCTCTTCTTTTGCTGTACAGAAGCTTTTTAGTTTAATGAGGTCCTGGTCCCACTTGTTGATTGCTGACCTTAATTCCTGAGCAATTGCTGTCTGATTTAGAAAATCCTTTCCTACATCTATATATTGTAAGTTACTGCCAATATTTTCTTTTAATAGTTTCTGCGTTCCCAGTTTCACACTGAGGTCTCTGATCCATTTAGAGTTGACTTTTGTGCAAGGTGAAAGATAAGGATCTAGTTTCATGCTTCTACAGGTGGAGATCCAGTTTTGCCAGCATCATTTGTTGAAGATGAAGATACTGTCTTTCCTCCATTGTGTGTTCTTGGCACCTTTGTAAAATATCAGGTGGCTGAAATTGCATGTATTCAGGTTTGGATCTTCAATGATGTTCCATTGATCTATGTGTCTGTTTTTGTGCCAGTACCATGCTGTTTTTATGACTATAGCTCTGTAGTATAGTTTGAGATCTAGTATCATAATCCCCCAAGCGCTGCTCTTTGTGCTCAGGGTTACTTTGGCTTATCCAGGGTCTTTTGTGCCTCCATATGAATTTAAGGATGGATTCTAAAAATAAAATTTTTAAAAAGCTGGAATCTCCTTCAATTATTTTATGGCTAAATTTATTAAAACAGGGCCTGACTTCCCTTTTAGCAACTCCAAGGATATTTATGAAGAGCCTAATCCTTTGTCAAAAGCTTCAAACCACCCATATGGACAGTCAGACTGGAGATCAGGGGAACTCAGAGTACTCACGTGCTGGTTACATTCCAAACCACAAAAGAAAGGACCTGTTATATCATTCATTTCCAAGTCAATGTAGGCCAATGCTCTCACAAAACACAATAAAAATGAATTACTATTAGCAAATAAAACAGGAGTGTACAGAAGCAAATCTAGGTTTTTATTAGGTTCAAAAATAAAATCATGTTTTAATAAGCATAATCAGAATATAAGAAAATTACCATAAGTATACAAGTTGTCAGCTGAAATGGTGCATATTAGACCATAAGCAGCATTTTACTAAGAATGAAAACTTTTGAGTGAAACAGTGCCAGCCCATAGCATACTCTAAATGCAGACTATGAACATTACAACTTCTTGTCCCCAACACTGGGTTTTGGTGGCATCAGTAAAGTAGTGTCACGTATCACAAATGTATGTGCACACATGTACATGTGAAGGTGTGGCTTATACATGTGCTTTTCATCTGAATGCATGTCTTTGTTCAAGTATATGTGCAGGTTTGTGTATGTACATGTGTGGGTGTTGGTGTGTGTAGGCATTGCACACAGGTGTAAGTGTGTGCAGGTATGTGTGTGTATAGATATATGTCTGTATAGGTACATATGCAAGGTATGGGAGGGGTTATGTGTGCGCAGGTATATGGTAATGACTTTTACAATATGGATGTACTCTGGACAAATAACTTTTACCTATCCTTGAAACATAATGTAAACAAGCTAACTAAGCTATTTGCTTCCTCTTGTGTCCTGGCATATGACCTAATCCCTCATGACCCTTCCTTGCCCTGAACCCAAAATAATAAATTAATGTGTATATCTATGCTTTACATATCAAAGCAATACACATAACACTTTTCTCATTGCAAACAATGAGAGAAATTGTTCTTGGTTGTATGTGTGGTGTTATAGGTCTAGGAATCAAAGAGCAATATTCTTCTAAGTCAGTTTTGCTTTTACTTCCCCATTTTATGCTAGATATTCTGTTTCTATAACACAAAGAGTGGGCCCTTGTTCTAGAGCACAGTTCCAAGAGAATTCTGAAGGAACAGGCTTTCAGCAGTTCAGTTCTCTTTTGGCCTTAAAATGGATGCTAAAAGTCAGGCTGTTTTTTATTAAAGCATAGCAGTAATGTGGCTTAGAAATGCCACACAGGCAGTATGTGTCAGAAGCATGTGTGTGCAGGTATGTGTGCAAGTGTGGGAAGGGTGTAAGTGTCCACAGGTGTGTGTAGGCAGGTGTGTGGGTATGTGCTGGGCATGTAGATGTATGCAAGTGAATGTATGCAGGTGTGCAGGTGTGTGCAGGTGTACGAAGATAAGAATGGATGCAACGGCCCTATGCTACCTCTTCAGTGAGCTCCCTTTGCAAAGATCTCCTTCCACATACTCTCTTAATATTTTATATGTAGAAGATGTGTTTTTAAGTGAAGCCCACATTTGAGACATAAAAGGCCTCCCTGTTCTCCATCACAGGGGAGAATAAACCCACTTCTCCACTTGTAGTAATTCCTGGACACCATCACAAAGCCTTCAGTTGAACAGAGTTTGAACCCTCACCAGAAGATGAAGGAGAATCCCATCTGCTTGCCCTGTTCTCCACCACTGCCACCATCTTGGGTTCCTCCAGGTTCTAGGCAGAATAATAAGCTAGGATTCTGCTGAGAGCCTGATTCCTACAAGGTGATCCTGAATTCTACCAGTGATGAGTTCATTAGCATTTGGGTCTAAATGAGCAGTGGTTAGTGACCTAAGTCATTAACATTTTAAGAGGCTTCATTCTGTAAGAGAAAATCAGCGCTGGAAATACAGCTCAGTGGTAGAGCACTTGCCTATCATGCATGAAGCCCTGAGTTCAATTCCCAGTACTGAAAAAGGATGAAAGAACTATGCTCTGATTATGTTTGAGAACAGTGCACTAGCCCCTCTGGGGGCCATGGTGACCTCATCCTGGCTCTCCAGTCTGACCATTCCCACTCCTCTGACAAATAAGCAGCAAGAATGCCAAATGTTTGATGGTGGAAGAAGAAAGAGAATGATGGCAGGGAGGAAGAACATGAAATCAGGGATGGCCAAAATAACCCTGGGCTCTGAAATCTCCCCTTCTTGAGCACACTGAGGGGCTAGGCATACACTTCAGAGCTGCAAAGCTCAGGGGAGATCACTTGGGGAGGGCCTCCATGCTCAAGTCCTGAAGGACCAGGAGAAAGTAAATGAGAACCGAGGGAGATGGGGAAGGCTGTTCCTAAAAAGGGAATCAGTCTCCCAGAGCCCAAACGCCTGGGACTCACAGCTCCGTGAGGTTTCCCATCCAACCTAGGCTCCATGGCAGAATGCCTGTCACTGCCCTCAGCGTGTCTCAGAGAAAGAAAGCCTGGAACACTTATTATCTTAGCAAATACATTTTATGTGGAGCGTTAGGATAATTTGTATCAATATAAGCACATCTCAGAAATTTACTGAAAATAAGCATAGGGGGAAATTCTTACCCTTACACACAGAGCATAGCTAACAACTGTTTGGATATATTTTCCTGTATTCCTTCATATGCATGCTTTATGAAGAAAACATGATCATAGAATTTTCACAGCTTTGGAATAATTTTTCACTGACCTTTGTTCAATAGCTAGTGCATTTTGCTCCTGTAAGTCTGCCACCCTGGTTCGTGAAGACAGCGCTGTTGGAGGCACTTGGGATTTGGACCAGAGACTGAAATGTCCTTTTGTCTTTCTACTGTCTGACTGGCTTCAGGCCAGGCTGAAGAGTAAATGCAAGAGAAATAAGTAGGTTATGCCCAGCAGCACCAACCTTCAGCAAGGAGACAGAAAAATCAGGCTAAAACAGCAAGTCCTAATAAGGCCATTACAACACGTAATTACCATTGTGAAGAAAACATTCCAGTGATGGATTGAGTGCCAGAAGGAGGTAATTGAAGCTAATACCAAGTCACAACATCTATAAAACATAAATTACTATCATAACTCCTAGATACAGTTTACCACATGTGATAACAGAATAAATCTGATTAAATAAATCTGAAGCCAAAAGTTAGCACTGGAGTGATTGCTATCATTGACACAGCTCATTTCTAGTTAACTGGTAATAAGACTGAAGTTCCACATAAAATACTAATGTGAGTGTAAGTCTGTCACAGAAAGGGAACAGGTTGGTGAGCTTCCCTATTGATTTATTACTTTATAAAACTTTCAAAAAGCACATTTAAAAATACTGTTCTGGACTCTCTGCTCCTCCCCATTCCAGAGACAGCTGCATCTTCTCATGCAGTGCCAGCCTCAGCCCTGAGACAGGACAGTGAAGTATGGAGTGAAAATATTTGGCCATATTGGGTAGCTGATCACCAGGGCTGCCTTCGACTCTGGCCAGGTAGATATTTTGCCATTAACGACTCTTTCATTGACCCCAACTAAATGGTCATACGTGTTTCCAGTATGATTCCACCTTCAGCAAATTCCACAGCACAGTCAAGGCTGAGAATGGGAAACTTGTCATCAATGTGAAGGCCATCTCTATCTTCCAGGAGCAATATTGGAGATCTTGCCAATATCAAGTGAAGTCGACTGATGTCTTCACTATTATGGATTAGGCTGGGGTTCACTTAGAGGGTAAAACCCAAAGTACTGTTTTCTCTTCCCCCTCTGCTGATGTCCCCATGTTTGTGATGGGTGTGAACCACAAGAAGTATAACGACTCATTCAAGAATGTCAGCAATGCCTCCGTCACCACCAACAGCTTGGACCCCCCCCCCCACCGGCCAAAGTTATCCATGACAATTTCAGCATTGTTGAGGGACTCGTGACTACAGTCCATGTCATCACCATCACCCAGACAACTGTGGATGGCCCTTCTGGGAAACTATGGTATGACTGTCATGGGGCTTCCCAGAACATCATCTCTGAATCCACTAGCACTGCCAAAGCTGTGGGCAAGGTCATTCCAGAGCTGACCAGGAATCTCATTGGCATATCCATGTTCCTACCTCCAGTGTGTCCATCATGGATCTGAACTGCATCCTTAAGAAAGATGTTAAATATGATGACATCAAAAAGGTGGTGAAGTAGGCATCAAAAGACCCCCTAAAGGGCATCCTGGGCTATACTGAGAACCAGGTCATATCCTGCAACTTTAACAGCAACACCCACTCTCCTAACTTTGACACGGGTTTATATTGTCCTCAAAGTACCATTTTGTCAAGCTCATTTCCTGGTATGACAAAGAATTTGGCTACAACAACAGGGTGGTAGACCTTGTGGTCCATGTGGCCTCCAAAGAGTAAGAAGCCCTAGACCACTCACCCCAGCAAGATGAAGAAAGAGGTTCTCAGCTGCTGGGCTTCCTACACTAACTCATCTCCCAACACACTATCTCCCTTCACAGTTTCCATCCCAGACTCTCAGAAGGGAGGAGCCTTAAGGAGTGCTAGTCTCTTGAATACCATCAAGACCAAAAAAAGAAGAGAAAAGAAAATACCATTTCTGGCCCCTTACCACACATCTGTGGTCAAGGTGCAGACCTTAGATCTCTGGGAAGCTGATTGGCACCTGCTTGATTAAGAGAGACAGAACATAAATCCCTGGTAGCCAAGAAGAACAAAGTTGTTTACATAAAATGCCTCTGTAATTTCTCCAAACATCCTCAGCAGGGCTGGCTGCTGGGCCTCACAACATGATGGAACAGCAGAGTAGTACTAGCCCAGGTCATCCTCACATGTCTGCTGGTCACTGCCTTCTCCTTTTCCCAGTCTTGTTCTGCTCATTATCTCAAACTTCCATCACATGGTAATTTCCTATTTATTTCCTTCTAATTGAAACTTTTTTAGTAATTTCATCATTGTTCACAACAATCCCACTTTTAAGAATTAATTTATTTAAATAATTTAATAACAAGCATCTATAAAATCTTATCCCAGTGGAACACCACGCTGCCATTGCTTAAACAAACCGTCCCATCCCTCTGTTCAGGGTCTATGCCAGCACCCTTGACTTCAACCAGATAAATATGTCCCTAAAAGTCAAGTCTAGTTTCTTAAAAGTTATTTGGGGATTGTCATCTTAGCACAATAAATTGCTAAAACCCATTCATACAGCTGTACATAGATGTCGTTCTTAGTTTGGGCTGTTGTGCAACCATGTATTACTTGACATATGATGATATGTATGTTTCAGATGATGTATATGTTTTAGATTTTGCCATCATATGAAACAGTTGGGTATCCCTGCCCAGGAGTTTCTTTAGGGTAAAATAATTCAATGTTCTCATTGATAACACTTGTTTGACTCATTTAAAAAATCTTTAGGGCCAGAGAGATAACCTTGGTATGTTAAGGCACTTGCTGCCAAGTTTAACAACCTCAGTTCAATCCCCAAGATAGCACATGACAGAAGAATAGAGCCAACTCCCATAAGTTATCTTCCTACCACACACACTCTGCTGTAGCACATATTCATACACACGTATACATACAATATGCAACAAATAAATGTTAAATAAAAGAATAAATAAATGCAAAACAATGAATAAGTGAATAAAAGAAGTCTTTTTGTACCTGGAGAAATGGATCGGTGATTAAGAGCACTTGCTGCTCTTGCAGAGGACCTGGGTTTGGTTCCAAGCACTGATGTGGCAGCTAACAACCAAGGAAGCACTTTGGAATGAAGTTGATGTCTTCATGTCTTTAATGGCACCACTTTCTTTTAAAGTCTTTTTCCTAGGAGTGGAATGAAAGATCTAGAGCCTTGGTCAACAGGACAATGTGCTGAAATAGCACCCCCCACACACAGTCCTTCTGTGTATTTAGGGAAAGGCCTGATTCCTGAGAAAATTAACCAAAAGGTGTGTGGGATGCTCTGAGCCCCATAGGGTGCAGGGGAGCAGCTGGTATAACCCTTTCCTTCCACTGGACCCTTTTACCTAGAGCTTTCAAAACAGTGATTTGAGATCATCTTGTGATCAGTGTTCCTATTCCAAAGTCAGCACAATTTGTTCTTGCTGTGAAGAGCCTTTAAAAACACTGGGCTCAAAGTTTTATCTTGACACGATTTAAACGCAATTTTGTTTTAACAGTAGATACACACCTCTAATAGAGACCTTGTCACAAAATCAGGCAACTTGCACTGAGATTTGAAAGAAATAGTTAGATTTTAGTTAGTTAAATCTTTCCATTCTAAAAACAGAGTGCACACTGCTTTGGTCATTTCAACAAGAAAAAAAAAAGAAAGGAAGAAAGTTCAACTTAGTGACAGGAAAATGAGCAGATAGAGTGCACCTGGGGAAAGTATTCCTTGGCTCACAAACCAGAAAATTCCAAGCTATGTTAGTATCTGAGAGGTCCAAGTTCAGAAACAGCAACTTGGCCTCTCTCAAATCTCACATTTTCTGAAGTAAAACACAAAGGAAGAAAGTGCACAGAGCATTAACGTCTAGCCTTCCTGTGGCCACTACCTTAATGCAGCCTGAGGATCATGCCTGAATCCCAGAAGCATGGACCCCTCTCAGAGACACTCAAGTTCTATACCAACAGGAGCTGCTGGCAAATTCCAGCACAGCAGTGCAGGTTTGTCTGGCTTTGGGCTCTGTACAGCAAGTAAAACAGCTCTTGGGCTCTCTGACTTCCTTGAGTGTGTGCAGGGAAGGCTGTGCCAAACCTCAGACCTCTGTCTTTCCAGCTGTAGCAGTGCTGGTGGCAGAAACCACAGCTGCCACTACACTGAGGTGGCATGCCTGGGCAGCCAGCAAGTTTGCATATTAAACCATACACTCTCCCTAGGGCCTTCAAAATCTAATTAGTCCAGGTGGAGTAAAGGGATGAAACCCTGGGCTGCTCTAAAATTCATGCAATCAAAAGGTACCAGCAGGATCAGCAGGCCTCTCTGGACACATGGAGATGGTACCGCAGTTCAGATCACCCCTGAAAGCCCTGCCTCCTTCTCTTCTATGATACACACTGGTGAACTGCAGCCTATCAGCTCTGTCTATAACTTATCTTAGTTTCACAGAAAATGTTCACACATGTCTCTTGCTTATCATTCCTATATTGTCTCAGGACTGGCTTCTGTTGATTACCAATCCTACCCCAACCCCCAAGAACTAGATATTTTTCCCAGTCTCTGGTTCATTGTATAATTTTGAATGATACCCTCAGCACATTAGGTTATAAGGTATGGGTTCTGTTAGAATCCTCTAGAGACATTTTTTTATATTTCATTAGGCAAAATCTTGGTTAACTCAGACCCAAATTTCCATCTGCCTTACAGACAGGTCAGTCAGTTCATTTGTCAAAGCCCAGGTTGTTTGTGTAAGCATACACATGACAAGCCTTCATATACAGTATTTTAATTATTTCCAAGTTACAAATGTTTCCAATGCCTTCTTTGACTTGTTCTGATTAAAAGGTACATTTATTTTAACTGTGATTATAGATACTTCAAGAAGTACACAAAAGCAAGAAAACAGAGCTGAGAAGTTCCATCACTGGCATCAGTATCTACCAAGGTAAAATGAGCTTGTCTATCTGTACACATTCCACTAGTGATTTTTAAATAGATTCCAATAACTGATCAAGTCCACCCAGAATCATTTCAGGATGTATCATTAAAAGACAAGAACTCTTTTAAAAATATAACTATACCTTATCCTCCTGAAGCTCAAGGATCATTGTGGAAGAGAGGGGCAGAAAGATTTTAAGAGCCAGAGGTAGTAGATGAATACAAGGAAACTATGTTTT